GAGCCGGACAGTGGAGTGGTGGACGCAAATGGTGGATTGGTAGAGCGGGAGATGGGAGTCTGGCAGAACAAAACTGTGAGTGGTATAGAGCGGGGCGATATTGGTAGGGCCGAATGTGAAGCGGAAGAGGACAGGACGGCAGCGCACCGACCACCGGGCGGCGGCGGCAGTCGTTGGAACTGCGCTCACGCTGTGAACTGCGACTTGGATCTGTGGCTATTGGAAGAAACGTGCCATTGTCTTGCCAGACGATATGTGCTGATTGTTCATAGGACCACGTGCTTTAAGTACATGTTGTACGCAGTGAATCATCTTGGAACACGTGCCGCGGTCTCCCGCCGACCAACGTGTGGATCACGGGCTGAGACAAGCACGTTCATGAAGGGTACTCATCCCGCCACACCTGTGCGCGGCACATATTTCTTTCGCTGGAGAAAATCAGCTGAGCGTGGTTCGGCGTCGAGTAAGTCTCGTCGTAAGTCAGACGGCCTCCTCATGTTTGAAAGATGGGTATGGTTGGCCTCATTACCCATCCGTCACGGCGTTGCAGACCCATGTAACCAAGACCCCTTTGCTGTGAATCCGCGCTCGTTCTAATCTGTTGTCACTTGAAAAATTTACCAGTGAATTATTAGATAAGATCGGACATTTTCGTACAGTCTGTCGTGAATGTAGTGGGAATACTTTTTGATATAAGAACGGAGGTCCTTCAGGTCCTGGTGTTTCGGCATTCTGAATGCAAAGGCCTGATGTAGAGGAAGCAACCTCTAATATACCAGGGGGTACTCGTTAACCCAAAAGTTTACATAAACACTTCCAAACACTGTTCGGTGAATCAGTGGTTTCAATGCAGTAATCTTCCGTTGGTATATGAATATACAGCACTCATACCGATGTGTGTATATGTGTGCGTGCGCAATAGTGCAGACGTGCTGCTATACCGAAAGTTACTTAAAATATCACTTCGCGATGTGTCGCCTTGCCTTCAGTTGCAACGGTAATGAGCTTAGGTTAACGCCATGCGATGATGAGCCAAGTTTGGAACATTTAATTTAGTTTTGCTTGTTCTCATAACTTTTGATCTAAAGCTTAATAACGTTGTGTACCTATATGTGATATGTGACACAATTAATAAGACAAAAGATATGTGACACAATTTATTCGAGATATTCTTGTAATGGTGCTTTTGTAGGAAATATAAACTGAGGTTCGAAAGCCCTAGCTTCGCATAATCCACTTCCCGTATAGTACTGGAACATGGTGATACAGAAGCGTCCATTGCATTCTGCTTGTATTGCCAGACAAACCCATTTAATTCAAACACTGGCTAACTATGTGTTATGACAGTGGAATATCTCATTCGCAGAGAGTTGCTGAGAAAGTATAAATGCATTTTCGAGCCGGATTTAGGTCGCAGGGCATGATTTTAGATCACTGCGTGCCGTTAATTATGTTCTGGGACTTTATTACACGCAGTTGCAAAGATACATTCTGCTGTAAAGAACAGGCCATTCTCAACCCGCATTGAACTCTAAGTGTGCGCCGTAGTTTCACGACATAAGAAGGAGCAGGAGAACGAGATGTTTTTAGCGCTACGGTACCCTGCATTTTAGATGCAGCAGGGTTGGTACTTCACAATTTAACCAGATGGTGTGTGAGGGAGAATGAAGTTTACCCCACTCAGCTGCCCTTATTTTGTACCATTATGCCAGCGACAATTCGCTTTTTGCTGTCAAACATCGCTCATACTTGGCAGCCGTCTCCAG